TTTCAAAACACTCTTCAAATCTCTTTTCAGAGTTTCACATAACTCCTGATTTGCAAGCCATGGAATTCAACCAGCATCCAGCATGTCCACAGCCACTGCTGTGTAGGTGGAACTCGGAAACTCTCTCAGATCTATGTCTGGCTCTGGAGCAGTCTGTGCTTGGAAAAGGGTGCAGGGTAAAAGAAACAAAAACCCATAAAGAATATATTTTTCTCCTGTCAGTGTCGATTCAGGAAAGAAATGGCTGACAGTGGGTCATTACTGCAGATCACTTCTGTTCTGGTTTGATTTCAGAGAACTCCCTCCTAAACAACCAATGTGCCTAGGCTAAGTGTACCTGATTTGGAGCTTGTTTTCTTTCTCTGAGGAACAGCAGGTCCACAGTCTCATCTTCCTTCTCTACTGGTGCAATCTCAGAGAAATGCAAGATGCTCCTTTCTTGCAGGTATATAGTGCCTCAGAACTGAGGCTTCATTTCAGTAAAGGATTTAATTTCAAGGCCTTTCAAAGGTCTTAATTCCAAAAAGCCATTTCAATAAGGCTGGTTGTGAGAGGACTAGATCTTGAAATGGATTCAGGATCACCACCTAACTGCTTTTAGGCTGAGATTTGCAGTTTTCTCTACTCAGTATGAAGATAAGTGGGTGGATGCATGCAGGAAATATGCTGATGCTGCAGAGCTGTGGTCAGAAAGCATCTCTGCATCCAATTCCTGCTGTTCATAACTATACCAACAATAACTAAATACACTGTCTAAGTAGCATAGTAATCAACTGACTCTGTGTGACAGTCACTTGCTGAACAAAATCTCAAATCTCACTTGCCAGCCAGGCATCCTGAGCTCCCAAAGCAGTAATTTCGTAGAAAAAAGGAGAGGCTTCTCCTCAGGAAATTCCGAGAGTTCCCGTGGCACACCAGTAGTTCTGGCATATCCCAGCAGAGGGCAATGGCAGATATACATCTGAGTTTGGCACTGCAAAGCACCCCCACAGTAGAAAACTAAGTTTTCCCTTGCCTACCAGATCTTGTCACAAGCTCAGGAGTCACTTGGCGCTAACAAATGGAATAAATCCTATCTAGAGCTGAATCAAGGTCCAGTAGAAGACCTGGCAATATGTAATTAACCAGCAGCGTGCAGGAAGCTCTCCAGATCAGCCCTGAGTGACTACAGTTTGTTAAGTAAAGAAAGGTCGTAGCAGCATTTTCACTGTAAGATCACAAAACACATGTGGTCTGGCTTTCTTACTGTGCTGGTTTGGAGAAAATGGGTAAGTGAAGCTGTGTGTCTTCTTTGATTTCTTTGATGCACCCATAAATGCAAACCAGAAAGACTAAACTGGAAGTGGTGACTGTGGAGGAGGAAATGGCAAACAGGAAAAACCCTGGCAGCTTTATTTGTGTTCATGGAAACATTTTTATTCTGAAATCTCAGTGTTAGACCTAAAGTCCTCCTGAAGGTGACAGAAAGTTATTCAGAGTAGATTTTTATAGGTATATGTGCACCTAAACACAAGAACCACAATTTGAGGTAGTTAAGGCAGACTCGCTTACACTGGATTTTTTCACTTCTGAATGTAAAACCTTGTATGTCTCAATTTGGGGCTGAAAAATAGAAGCATTCAGAACTAGGGACCACTTTTAAAAAAGCATCAATAAAATTGTATGTCAAACACACTGAAATGCAGTGACCATTAATTATGTAGGCATGCTGCAAAAGCATAAAATGATATCTGTTTTGACCCAGGAAGGCAGTGAAGAAATGTTTACAAATCCTTTCATGACAATAACCATAAATAACAAGTAAACAGCGACAGGAACAACTGCTTCAGTAATATTGCTGTCATTTGTTGTGCCTGCATCAGCAGACACTGCAAGGGAAAATCGCTGTTGGAGGAGAGAGAAATAGGTTGCCAAGCAACACGAGACCCCATCCAGGGCACCCCCTCCCCTGCTTAGGAGCAGACAAAGCTCCCCGGTACAACTGCTCTGAAAGCTGAGCTAGCATCCCTCAGGAGAAAGTGGACATGTTGTGGGGTGAGGGAGCAGGAAAGGGGAAGAAGGCAGAGCTTCCAGCTGGCAAGGTGAGGCTGCAGAGACCAAGGGAAGCAATGGCAGTTGTGCCAAGGTGGGGTTAAAGAAGCCAATCCAGAGTGTGGCTGCTTCAGTAGCACTTGGATCAAACCCTGCTCTAGTGTGGAAGGGTTGAATATGAGTGGGGCTTTCCTGGCTGGAGATAGAGACGGAGGAGCATGGTAGCAGGACTCTGGAGAGGTTTTATTATTTTTAAAACATGTTCATGTAAATATGGCACTCACAACTTCAGCTACTTGGGTTATTTTTTTCAAGGGAGCTGACACCTAGGCCCTGTATGCTCTGCAACCTGCCTGTTAGGAGTATGAGAGTACTGGACTGAACATCATGAACCAGTTCTTTCCTGACTTATATACAATATTGATGGAGGTAACATAAGGCTGCAGAAGGTGCAGTTCAGGAAAGAATCCAAACCTTTGTCTACTACTGTATTTAATCCTTCTGAATCTGCTCTGCTGCTGCCATCATGCATGAGCTCATCCCCAGAGGATGGGGATGACAAATGAGGATCAGTTGTGGTAACATTGCCACAAAGCAGGGACTCTGGACAGCCAGACCTTAAACTGAACTGGATAAAATGGACTATTTGTTCTTCCTCTGAAACGCCACACAAAGTACATATGAAAAGACACCAGACATGGATTACAAATGGTATTTAGGAGGCAGAAAGAAGGAACAATTGAAGGAATAAGCATATTTTCTTCCTCTTTCACTTGTCTTATAGTTCTGATAAATTTAAAGCTGAGTATGATCCAGTGCCACACAGGCCCATGTTCTTTGCAATATATTGTTGAAAAGCAAAGTAAATTAATAAACTGCAGGGCCACTACTGTTACTGCTGTAGCTAAACTGATTTTGATACACAAGCCAGCCTCATACATTGCAATGCACTGATTTACCCTATAAACATTTCCAGTGAAATATATGAGAGTTCAGGTATGTTCTCCCTTCCACCCCAGAGGAGCCTCTCTGTTCTTCAGAGCCTGTCTTCTAGGAGGTGTTTAAGAAGAAAAGATGCTGCATTGCCACTTGTTGTGAAGACTTCCTCTTCTGAGGAGGCTGTGATCTGATTTTAAGATTCCTCCCATGGGACACCTGATAAAACCCCATGGCCCTGGGTCTGCTCTCAGCTCTGGGCTCTCTGGGCTTTTCTCAGGCTCCCGGGCTTCTGCCCCTCTGCTCCCCTGCTAAACAACAGAGACTTGTCTCCTCTGTTTTCCCTGCTCCTGGTAGTGACCTCCCTGGATCACAATCATCACTGTAGCCACACGCTGCTACAGCTTGTGACTGATCTTCAAGAAGTTACACCCCAGCACAGGCTGAGCATTACCCTTCGCAAAGCTCTTTTCAGCTCTTCAGAGTCAAAACCTGAGCAGCTCTGGCAGTGTAATTCCATTAAAAGCACTTATTTGATCAGTCTGGTTTCATGCTTAAAATGCTTTTGGTCTTACTACCCCAACCATCTGCTTTTTCATAACAGCAGTTCTGGTTGACAGCAGCTTCTCCTGAGAGAGGAGCCAGCCTCTTTGGCACCAAGAGGCAATAAAATACCACTCTTTTCCAAACAGGACAGACTTATGTCCGGTCATAAACCACCAGTGTCTCTGAATTACACGACATTTCACTGCTCAGAACCTCTGTTCCTGCCTCCTTTTATGTCAATCTTTGTTGGATTTTGCATGTCCATCACCATCTTGAAATTCGCATCTTCTGAATAAAGTCAGAAAAAATACAACTTCAATGTCATCTGGCCTTAAAATGTTTGACTGCTGTGGTTTTAGCTTTTCAAATGACCAGCTCTGTGAGAGTTTTACTTCACATTGATCTGTCAGTAAGGTGACAATACTTTGAACACTTCTGTGCCAACTCCTAAAAACCACAGAGACTGTGTGGTCAGAAGTCAATCCGTACTACACCAAGAACTGCAATTAAAAGGCTTAAATCAGCAATTAAGGAGTTACTAAGCACAAACATCAAACTTCTGTTATTACAGTATATCTACTCTTCCAGTCTTTAGAAAGAACAATATTAACACCAAAGAAAGCAAGATTTGGCAAGGTAAAAGAACCTCTTTAAAGCCTTTTTTACATTAGCCCTTAAAATTAGCAAGTTTGATAAAAGGCAATGAAATATCTCACTTTAACATCAGCTGTAGGAAGTCAAAATAAACATTATACTGGTTTTGTTCCAGCAGTCTTATGGGATCATAAAGGCTAATGACCTTAAGCTTTCTGTTTATTAGGTGATGAAAAAATGTCCTTTGAGAGAACATTATGGCTAGTCTTAAAACTAGGCTATAAGGTATAGGAAGTGTGTTGCAGGCAGTAGGATGAGGGGAGGTATTCCTTTCTCTCTTTGTCAGTTGTTTTATCCTTTGAACCAGCCCGAACAGTTCCTTTCTGCAGGCTGACTGCTTGTGTCTGTTGTGCTGCCTGTCAGAGCCTACGTCATGCACGTTCAGCAAAACCTGTAAATCAAGAGTAGGGACAGCACAAAGCTCTGCTCCTCCCTCGCATGTCCCACACCAGCTCTTCTGAGGGGCACTGCTGGTGATGGACACAGACCCTTTACAAAACCAGAACAAAAAGGCTTTGCTCCCAAAGAGGCTGCAACTGAAATCTAAAGATAAAGGAACAGCTGAATCCACAGAGGCAAGAAAGGCTGGTTTTGTTCTTTCCACGCTTTCAAACAGGCAAGAAGTAGGCAGGGCTGAACTTTTTTTCAGGAACAAAACCTGGCCGTAATTTTGCACTCTTATTTTGAAAAGTTAGTCTGTTTTATTTCCGGGGCAGGCCTTTGTTGCAATGCTGAAAAGAACTCCAAGTCTCCAACCTGTTTTTTTACCTTATTGCTCAGTGAAGCTCTCTCCCATACACACATCCCGTTGGCACACAGAAACTGCTGGGAACATGGCTGGTGATTCAGTTTTGCTCGTAGCTGGCAGTCGTCTCTCTTCTTTCTGCCTTCCAGCAATGTAAGGAAGAGCTGTGGGCTGCATGGATGGGGTTTAGGGAGGTTTCCACTGGTTCTGAAGTATGGGAATTATTTTATGATAAATTGGTTGCTCTGCAACTTTAATTTCTGAGAAGTCCTAAAATTTTTCTCACCAGAGCATAGTTTACTCTCTCTGCAGTCTGAGAGGGAGTTGCCTCAGTGGGACAGATTACTTTTCCCTCTCGGATAATTTAATTTGGTTTTAATTCTCTTTTGTTTGTTGACTTCTTGGAACAATACTATTATCAGAGCTTCTAACTAGCTGTAAAGGTACCCCAAAGCCATGTTGTGTCTTGATTTGACTCTTATTTAGTCACCTACACAACTGAAAACCTCAAAAATGACAGTAAATCTGTGAAATCAAATGCACCAGTACTGGACTGAAAGTGCTGTAAAAAAAATGTTTCCAGTAACAAAGTCAAGTACTCAGTATCTGAAATGAATTAAGAAAGCAAATCATTACATCAGGCAACAAAACTATCAGATATTACATCCTATGTTCTCATCATTACATTTCTTTAAGAGGTAAATTCATTTATTTTATGCTCTGCTGATATGCCTCTGTGAATCAAGGAATAGGCTGCAAAGGGAAGTGGTGGGATCACCATCCCAGGAAGTGTTCAAAAGGCATGTGGATGTGGCTCTTGGGAATATGGCTTAGTGGTGATCATGGCAGTGCTGGTTAAGGGCTGTGCTCAAGGATCTTGGAGGTCTTTTCCTACCTTAATGGTTCTATTCTGTGATTAGAAGGGGGAAGTCCGAGAAGCTCTTTTTCTGTGCATAATCTAAAACTACAGTATCATTTTTAATGCTTGACATTATTTTCTTTGAAACATGTTGACTCATATAGTCGTTTTTACACCAGGGAACAAGACATACTTTGAAGGCATTTGTACTGTACTAGCAAGAGATTTAGAGCAAGTTAAAAATAATTACTTTGCCTTTTTTCTGGAATACCACTGGCATCTTATCTAGCAACCCATTGATGTGGCTTGATTATTTGTTTATTTGTTCTCAAAGCCTCAGCTACTGAAACAACATTTGCACCCAGCAGAAAGAAAAAGTTTGAGAATGTGATCCTTCCAGTTAAAAAAACCCAAAACAACACAACAGAAGACAAATAAAAAGCACTGAAAATTTACATCCTCTTTTTCTGTCATCAGATAATCTCCAATATACCCCATGATCTTGATGTTTCTATCTGGTGGTAATGCTTATCATCAACTTCTGAGAAAGTTCAGCTTGTCTGCCTTGATTTTTAACCTGAAAGTGTGAAGGGTTAAAAACAACCAACCAAAACCACAGGCATTATTTTAAAAGTATCTTGAAAACTCAAGGGGTTCTACAGATACTGACACTGTGAGGAGAGGTGATTAATATGTTCTTCCTTACGATGGATTACTTGTATTAGTTAATCTTAGTTAAAAATCACAGAAAGGATTATATAACCTGGAGTTGCATTTACACTGGTAATCTGACTTCAAGCCCAAAGAGAAACTTCTGGAAGAATCTGACCAGCTGACCTGATTTAAACTACCACAACTTTCCATTATGATAACCCAACACAGATCAGTTAATAGATTAGATAGGAGTTTGGATGAATGTTGTGAAACCAGAACTGCAAGTAGGTGTTATAACCACTTCATGTAAAGGGAGCAACCCAACCTGTGACCTTTTCCTGGGAACTAAATGCAACAGGCAGAGCACTCAATGCTCTCTTTGCTCTTCTGTTTATTCTTCTGAGCCTCCAGTCCTAGCTTAGAAAGGTGCTAATGGGCAATACCACCTCCCTGGAGCAGTGATGGAAGTCAGGCTTTACTTAGCAGCCATTGCAAGTACAAGATGAAGTGTCTCAGAACCAGGAATTATTCAAGGAATCAGGTCAGTTGAAGATTAAGTTGTGCAAGAAATTCTCCAGGGTAGAAAGAAGGAATTGAAACAATGCAGGAACTGGTTTCCAGTAATGAATGTAGTTTTAAACTGTTGAGATTTGCTTGAGAGGTTAGTGTTTTATAGACTGATGGAAAAACAAGAGAACCCCATGAAAGAGCAGAATTAATTCCAATCATTGATACAGGAAAGAGCAGGGACACAGGAGTCCAACTACTCATCTAATCTGAAGGATGTCTTTGAACTAGCCACCTTAAAATGATTTTTTAGTAATTCCAGGACCTAGGAAGACATTATTAAAAAGTAATTGCTTTGGTTGAATTGATTGGTTTATTACAGGTTGTTAGGCCAGACCATGCAAATTAATATGCAGTATCATACACTGTGATACAGGCAGCAGCTTTTCTACAGGCTTTTTAAACATATGAAATGTGTGAGAGTAATGTTCTTTGAAAGCCTCCTTTGTCCCATGTTTTCAGAGTAAAGGTATTGGCTCAGTAACCAAAAATGCCACCTGAAGATGAAAGCAAGAAAAAGCATACAAAGGCAAGTCAAGCATGCTTTGTAACTACCTCAGTCATATTTAATTTAGCCTGTTAGAATTGAACAACTTGATAAAAGGGGAAGAAAAGCTATGTAAACCTTTATTTACTCCTGCTGCACTGCTTTCTTGTTAAACCATCGGACAAAATGTAAATTTGGAGTTACACTGCTACTTCCCATTCACCGGGGGAACTAAAAGGCAAGTCCTATGCAGGTAAAGAAACCCATGGTGATTATTCCTCTCCTGAGCAGTTTTCATTGAACCTGGTTGGTGTCTGTCTTGTTCTGCTCACCAGGCTCACCTGTGGATGACCATGTGGATAACCAGAGACATAACCATGTCCCTCAAACCAGAGCCTTGCTGCTGGAGCAGTAGCCAGGGCAAATGGCATTACAGCTGAGGCCTTGGTGATTTGCTTTGGTTAATTGTGCTGAACAAACAAACTGTCATGGTTTGACGCTGGCAAAATGCCAGCGCCCCATGAAAATACAACTTACTAATCAAATGCTGTGAAATGTGATCAAGAACAGAGCAAAGCAGGCTAAACTTAATAACAAAAGGAAAAAACTTTATTACACTACTACTACTACCACTATAAAAGGAAAAGAGAGGAAAGAAAAAAAAACCACACAAAATTCGAAATGAAAACTTTCCAAAACATTTCTCCTCCCTCCACCCAACTCCACCAAACCCCAGCGAGATCCATTTGGATCCTTAATCAAGTTTTCACCCTTCAATACAATCAATACTGAGTCCATCGGGGAAGAGAGGAGTCCCCCCTGCAACCACAGACCCCCAGGAAACACAACTGTCACCTTTTGTGTTTCCAATGTTACACGTGGCACCGCCCAGACCGGCCAATGTGACATTCTCTTCTCCATGTCACAGTGCTCTCACCACCGAGCATGGACAGAGACTGCTTATAGGGCCCCTTTAAGGATGCTTTGCCAAGGACCACCAGGAACAATAGTTCAGTATCACAATTCGGGACTAGAGTCCCCCCCATTTTCCCCTGGGGCCGAGGGTTCAAAAGACAGAGATCGCCTTCTCTTCGTCCTGAAGATGGAGGGCATCCTCACACCCTCCTCAGCTCTCTCTCTGTCCACTCCAAACTGGTAGTTGCTGCAGAAGGTCTCTTGGCTCAACCAATGCATCCCCCTAAAATGCAGTCCCTCTTGAAAGAAAGAGTGGTTCAGTCTATGGTAAACAAGAAGAGTCCAGCCAAAAAGCCACTCCATCATCTGCCCCCAACCTTCTTCTCTAAACATCTGAGGTTTCAAGCTGTCTCTCTTTTCTTTAAATTCAGGAGGAGTAATATTTCATAAAGCTTTCATTTCTCAGGAAGGGCCAAAAGTCCCAACTCCCAAGGACGGCCCGCCGCCCAGGCTCCAGCCCCCACAGCCCGGCCGGGCACCCCGTGGCCCCCCCGCTCCTCTCTCCCCCCGCGGCGAACCGCTGACAAAACCACCGAGTCTCTGTCTCCCCTTCTCTCCCGGGAGAGAGAGAGACCCCGGGGGGAGCGGAGACACCCTAGATCTCTTCACCCCTCCATCTGCAGGAGCTGACCCAGCCGGCTCCGATCCTTTACCTCCTGGCCTACCTGTGCAGGCCGCATGGCTCCCCTCCCCCACCCAGCCCGGGCCGGGGGGGGAGGTCCGTATCATGCGATGACCGGAACCAAAGAAGGATGAGTCTTTCTGGGAATTCCGCTTTTAACCCCTCTGTGTTCTCAGAGGCGTGTCCACCTTCAATTGGTCACTCCAAGTGTCAGTATCTAAACCTGACCCCTGACTGGTGAACCTCTTCCTTCTAAAAAAAAAATTCTCTTCCCGTGTCAAACCATGACACAAACATGATTTGGCCCTACAGTGTCTTAATCTTATTTCCCTCAATTAGTTTATTTTGTCCAGTATCCATACAATGCTTTTTTAAAAATAAAACTGCTTTGGATGCAGTAAGCTGCCTTGGCTTGGCTTAGTTCCTCAGTAGAAAAACCTGGTCCCAGACTGTATGTATGACTTAAATGGCTCTGTGCTGTCAGAAAATGAGGATCACATTGCTGGCTAAAGGTGCCATTGCACAAAATATTACAGCTCACCTATCACTTTTACCAATCCCAAACCTGTGGGAGAGCAGGAGGTCTTTCTGGATACAACTACAAAGGGTCCTGTATATGGGTCTTACAGAGAGATAGCTGAGCTGCCCTGATTGTTCTATGGAGAGAAAGGTTAAGAGGTCACTTGAACATTGCTCGTGATTATTTATATAGGGAGAAGACAGATGGGAAAATGCTTTGTTGAGTGTGTTGATTTGGCACAACCTCTTTTTTGTTAGCAGGGGAAGGCCACAGAAGTGGCTTCTGTGAGAAGCTGCTGGAAGCTTCCACCATGGCCAACAGAGCCAATGGCTCATAAGATGGACATGCTGCTGGCCCAGTCAGAGAGGTTGGTAACACCTCTGTGAGGACATATTTGGGAAGAAAATCAAAACATCACAAGTGCAGTTTTTTTCCAGGGGTGGCAAAGCGCCGTTGCTGGGGCCATCCAAGCCTTACCTGCCTGGCTGCCCCTGCCCAGCCGTGCCTGGGCACACGGGCAGGGCTGGTGGCAGCTTTTCCTTCCCGGCACCAGGCAGGAGCAGAGGCGTTAAACAGCGCCGGCGCTGCCACGGCCGCCCCTGCCTGCGCCATGGCGGCAGCAGAAACGTGATCAGCAACTCCCCGACGTGGAACCTGGCTGAGATCAACCTCTCACTGCTTTGGGATCCTGCAGGAATCTTTGAATTGGTGGAACTTGTTGGCAGTGGTACCTACAAGCAGCAGTTTTTCTTCTAGTCAGAGAAGAGGAGGAAATGAGGACACGAGAAGGAAAACAACATGGTGGCACCAAGGACAATGGAAAAGCAGGAGGAGGTGCTCCAAGAGTTGGGGTCAAGATTCCTCCGTGAGTAGTGAGGACTGTGGTGGAACAAACTGTCCTCCTGTAATGCATGAAGTCTGTGGGGGATGCAGAGATCCACTCGCAGCCTGTGGGAAAAGTGCTCACACCAGAGCAGGTGGATGCCAGAGAAAGCTGTGACCCAGTGGGAGATCCAATGGAGAGAGGGCCCCTGCTTCCAGAGACACAGAGAGAGAGCCCTTGCTTCCAAACTAGAGCAGCCTGTCCTTAAAGGACTGCTTCATGTAGACAGTTTTGGGAAGACTGTTTGCCTGTGGGGGGGACCCCTCAGCACAGGAGAGAAAAAACTCCTCTCCATGAGCAAATAGAAGATTTTGAGTGACAAACTGACCAAAGCCCCCATGCCTATCTCCCTGTGCTGTTGGTGGGAAGGGATGAGGGGCTGTGAGGAAAAAGCTTGTTTAAGGTTTATTTTACTTCTCATTATCTTTCTCTGACTCTGTTAGCAATAAATTTACTTTATACCTTTAAATTTGAAGCTTTTTTGCCCTTAGAGTGTTTTTCTCCCAGTCCTTATCTCAACTCGTGAACCCTTTGTTAATTTATTTTTTCCCTCTCTCCTTCACCCAAACATATTGGAAGAGGGTGAGCAAATGACTCTCATGGGTGCCTGGCATTTGGCCAGTATCAAACCACGACACTGGGGTAAAGGGAAACAAGGTCACAAGCCACAAGGCTACGATATCAGAGATGCACAGGGCAGCACCACTATTATTTCTGGCTGTATTTTAGTGCCACTGATGTCTTAAGGGAATACAGAAGGTATTTCCCAGGCTCCCCCCTTGTACAAGTGTTTTTAGTGGGCTCAGGTGGGTGCCTGGTTTCTGGATCCGGGTAGATTAGTATAAGGTAGGCAGTGACCTTCTCATACAGGGTGGCTATGACATAGCCAGGATAATAATAATAATTATTATTATAATATAGGTAATAATAATATTAACTCCAGGTACCCGGGGAACTTAAAAGGCAAACAGGGTGTTTCCCAATAGCTCTGCTGCATACAGCAAATTGCTATGTATTTCCTTTTGTCCCTGTGATAGCCTCTGTCCAGCTTTCAGAGGAAGACTTCTGCAATGAGGGCATCAGTAAAATGAGGTATTCACATACACGTGACATGTGTTCTTATAATGCTGGTCAGAAGTGTAGAGAGAGTGTGTGATTAGTTTAGGAGTTTTGGTAGGTGATTTGATATTTAGTCACTGTACAGTAAATAATCTCTTCTTTTCATGACACTACCTCTGTTCTAAAAAGTGCTTTTTACAAGACAGGAAAGTACTATCAGCTCCAGACAGCAGAGGAAAAACAGCATAGGCCTTCTGCTTGATAGCTCTCAGAGGTCTCCAGCAGATCAGGTGGAGAGCAAGGAACATACTACAGCCTCCTCAATTGCAACTCTCTCTGCTCTTTCCAAAAGACTGAATTTTGAGAGTCCAAGACAGATGGAAAAATCAAGCACTATAAGTTATAGTTAAACAACTTTAAAAAGGCAACTATCAGATTTTTGTTTCCAGTGCTGCCCAGTACTTCCAAGCCTCATAGCTCTTAATGTCACTAAACAGAAATGACCATATGCCAGTCAAAGCAGTAGGGCAGTGACCTCCACCAGTGCAGTTTGGTTACTGAGACACCACTGGGGCACTGCAGTGTGACTAGGTTGTACCAGGGCTGTGTGGTTCTGGGACCCAGATGAGCACAAGGATATATAAGCCATAGCTAGTGCAGAAAATGCAAATGCAAATGAAAATGCAAATGCAAATGCAGATTAAAAAAAAAAAAAAAAAAAAAAGAATATATTTCTGAACTAACAATTTTCCCCCTTCCCCATGAATCACAGAAAATGCTGATTTGAAGGGATCCACAAGGATCAATCGTCGTGTCCAACTCAAATGTCACTCTTGAAGATAAAATCTAAACTTCTGTAAGGAAAAACTAGTTTGTCTAATATTGGTCTTTCTCTGGAAAAAGCTGAAGAACAATGACTTTCATTAAAAAAATTAAATTAAAAAATTATGTGTTAGAGATACAACTGAACCAAAGGAAATGTGTAATGTGTGAGCCCTTATTTTGGCTTGCAGGTCATTTTGCTTGGCTGGTGGGAAAATTAAGAATGAAGCACAAGATCATGTCCCTGGCTGTCACTGGAGTTCCAGAATTTGACAGAACATTTCATGCACACTAAATCTAGAGATCATTAAGATGGTGGCAGAGAACAATAATTCAAGCAAAGAAGCAAAAACTTTCTCTTAAAAAGTCAACTTTTCTTTGCATCTTTTACTAAAAAAAAAACCAAGCAAGCAACCAACCAAAACAACCAGATGGCTTTTCAAACAGATCAGCTATTATTTTAATAATAATGGGGTAAGTTCAGCTAAATTCAAAGTTGCTGCTCAAATTCTGATTAACCAGGTACTCAGATTACCCAAACTTAAGTGGGGTCTGAGATCCAATGGATTGTAACCTAGGGAATTCAGGTATTCTGGATCTAGCAAGCTGTGCTGTCAGTTCTTAGGCTGTGGATAACACCACAGATGAAGAAAACCTGTGTCTGCTGTGGATAATGGTGGAATATCCTATATAAGAAGACAATTTTCCTAAAGAGCTTCAGTTTTTAGAGGGTTTCTCTTTCAGCCTGGGGTCCGTGGTCTGGCCAACCCCAGCTGCTGGCTGGGCTGAATGCAGAAGACGGGCTACTTTGGTCCAGTCATCATGATTAAGCATTTCTTATCTTAGGCAAGTGACCACCAGGGAGGCCTTGCAGGGCCTCTGGCTGCTACAGGCTTCAGTGATTAACTAATGACCCTGTGCAAAATTAGTTATATTTATTTCAAACAATCTCATCTGCTGTAACTGTAGTTATAGTGGATAACAATAATGAGACATACTATGCATTAGACAACTTGTTAGATAACGTGATTCATTAGACACAGAGGTTTGCCTAATTCCTTATAAAGAAATTAATTCAGAACCACTGAGTAAAGATACATGAACAATATATTGGTGCGAAAACTGATGTCCACAAATAAAGGTGTTATGGTCCTTGCCATAGGAAAATCTACAATTTTATGAAGTCTGTGGCTTCATAAAGGCAGCTGGCCTCAGCAGATTAATCCAAATTCCTCTGCCAGTCCCAGAAATGCTGACACACAAAACTTGCATACCAACAAGTGTGGAGATAAGTGATTAACATCACATCAATGAACTGGAATTCCTGCCTGTCTCTGCTGCACAGCCACTTGATTGAGGCTTGTTTGTCCTATTTATTTCCATGTAGTTGGGATCCAGATCTTTGCCTAAGTTTAAATGCCAGGAAAATATTTTAAACAGCTTGTATCAGAGATTTCAAAAATGAGAAATTTTAAGTGTACCTAATGCTGGCTTGACTGTACTCCCAATGGATATGACAGCATTAACCTTAGTGGCAATGAAACAAGGCCAAAGATGACTCTTCTTGAAAATCCCACCCATAGTTCTTTTCCTTTCCAGACTAACATTCTTTCAAATTTATTCTGCAGACAGAATTCCTTGCTGGCCTCTGGACTGCAGGATGTTTTTCGATCAAGGTAAATACTTTCTGCTTTTATCTTGGACTGACAAGTTTTACATAACTTTTTAAAATGTTGGGATTATCAGGAAATAATTGACTGTTGGCATCTTTTCCCCTGCTTGTAATTAACACAGCTTTCCTAGAAAAACACCCAGTGACACTGAAATCCCCATGGCACTTCATAGGGATGAAGAGCTTTTCCTTCTATCTCCAAATCAAGGAGTTCTCATGGAGTAGAACTTGTGGCAGTTATTATTAACCCTTTCCCAGCAGATGTTTTAGAAGCATGAAGTCTGTGGGCTGCGGAAAGGATAGCCAGCCCATGTCCATCATTCCTCTCCTTCCTAAACAACTTCTCCATTTTTTATCTGCTCCAAACCAGTAATTTTTTTTGTTTGGAGCTTTCTTCCAGTCCCATCTCCACTGTAAATCCAAAGAAGCACCACTTAAGTCAACAAATTGGATATGAAATAATACAAGTGCTCATAGACAGACACTTGAATCAGAGAAGATCACAGTTGCTAGCCAGCAACACAGGTGCTGTCACATGTAAGAAATGAAGGATTATGATAACTTTCCCTTGAAGTAATGTTTCAGCTATGTCCCACAGGTATGTTTACAGGAGTTAATCCAGCACACAGTGAAAGCTGTCCTCTGTAATACACACACAGAGTTTAAAACCATAAAATCAACAAGCAGTGCTTAGTCCTGGATAATACAACTGACCTCCATACCCTGCTATCAATCAAGTGGAGGTGACTTTATACTCTTCCCTCAGGGAGGTCAGAAAGCTAACTTCACTACAGCTTCCTCCCATGTCCTTGGATAAAAGCTGCTATATAAATGCAAAGCAGGTTATTAACAACATAAACAGGATTCTCTTCCCAAAACAAACACTCCCCCTTAGCACAAACTGCCATAATAATACAAAATGACAGAGCCGGGTCAAGCCACAGTGCTCCAACCCACTATCCTGTTTCTGGGATAATCACCAAACTGGGGAGGATTAGGATTCCTGTCAGTTCCTGAGATGTCCATTTGAAGGAACAGCAGCTTTTGGATATTTTTGGGCAGTCCTACATCCACCCCTATCTGTAAAACCATATGAAGAGCCTCTTGCAGTGACTGTGTAAGAATACATGTATCTCTTTTGAATGATTCTTTCCCAAGATAACTTCCCAAGTTATGGGTAGCTGTAAAAATTCCCAAAGCAGTATAACTAGAAAACATAACTAGAGTGGTTAACTCTCTGCAATCCTAATTTTTTAGTTTTCTGGCTTTCCCCCCCACCATATTAATATTTTCTTTCTTAGAGAAAGGTATGTTGTACATGTTTGCCTGCTACAAGTACTTCCATGGTTATGTGCAGCCCATAGAAGGAAGGTAAGAAGTTACCAACTGGATGCAGGTTAACAGCTCCAGGCTGTGGTCTGAAGCTGGGCTGAGAGCCAAGGATTGGCAGTCAAAACTGATTATAATTTAATGCAACATGTGTAAAGCGTCGGCAATGGGTCAGGAAAGCCTCAGGGAAGAGGGCTGGGTGTTACAGAAGCCTAGGTTAGGATGTGCATGTGCTGCAGGCCAGGAGAGAGAAGAGTTTTGATGCTCACCTTGTGGGCAAATGCTTGTGCTGGGTGTAATTTACAATGATGTTCATAGAGATCTGGAAACAGAAGCACAGCTTTGCATATCAGGATTGCTTTAGGATGGGAAGCTGCTCATGCAAGGCTTGCACCATGCCTGCCTGTCTGCTAGCTGCATTTTCACTCTGTTTGTCACGTTAAGACCTTTTCTCTAGCCACACAAGTTGCACTAAAGGAAGCAAACAAAAGTGGCTTTGTAGGCTGATGAAGCTTCACCAAGCAGGTAAGAGAAGAGGGTTCCAGATAAGCATGCATTAATGAATGTTGAGTGCACAGCATCTCCTGATATGAATTCTGCTTCAACAAATATTGGCAGTATGCCCTCCACTATAAACATTGAAATACATGGTTTGTTCCATTTCACTGAAGGCACTGCACTGTCTTCTGTGTCCTGATCTAAGGCACTCTTCCACCATCTATCATCAGTCATAAGAAGAAAACAGTGCAATACATGCTTATCATAAGATTAAAAGTCTTACAATGTATTCTAGAGGAAGATACAAAACAATCAGACTGTTTTGTAGTGACTAATCCTGCAGCAGCAGCAGTAAGACTGTCCTATAGGGCTGTTTTCCATGGCTTGTGTACTGAAGTTCCCATTTTCCTTCACTACAGCTCCACCAATCCTTTATGTTCTTTGGAAGAGCTGCTGCTGGGGAGGAGGGGGAAGCTTTTTTCCAGAGCAAATATGTGGAGATAGTTTTGTATCTCCACATAAGAGATGGAATAATTCAAGCAGTGCAATGTACACAAGCTAGAAGACTTGCAACTCCTAAGGAAGTTGGGGAGCAGAAACACGTAAATAAAAAAACAAGCAGAGAATAATGGACTACTCTTTAATCAACAAATTCAAAAGTCCTTTGTTCAAGAAATCTTTGCCATGCTTTACTTCAGTACTTTTAAAATAGTTTCAGCCTCTCAAGGAAATTATACAAGAGTAGCTGGCTTCATTATTAGACTTTGGTGAAACTGATTTTAAATCAGAGGTTGTTAAAAGCCAGCCTGGCAGCCCTGGGAAATGATCTTGCTCCAAGGCCTGCTAGTTATAAACATGGTATGCATCTTCAAAGAAGGGCTAAGCTAAAGACTCTTTTCATGCTCTCCTGAAACTGAGAAAATACTTCACCATTTTCATCTAGACATGGCATGCCTAGAAGGGCTACTTATATCAAGTCTTTAGGCACCTAAACCTTAGGTGGGATTCTCAGGCTCTTCCTTCCTGGTCCAGAAATCCTTCTCCAAGCCATAGTGATCACCAGTAGCAGATCTCCCAGCTCAGCAGAGTGTACCTGCCCAATAGATGTGGATGTAAGAGATATGCATATCTCTCCCTCAGTTCCTTAAGGCTTCTTTCTCACACTCAAACACCTGGAGTTGCAATTAGGTGCTCAAGATTTTCTATGGTTTTACCAACAAGTCTTTCTGTCACAGAATGAGGTAGCCTCATCCTGGAGCCAGTTCTTAACTTCCACATGAAAATTCAGAAACACTGGGGAAAGTTTTCCCTTACAGAGAGTATTAGGAATCTCTTGTCTCTTGAAATAGTCATGTACAGGAATGGTTTATTACTAAAACCCCCCAAGGCAGTGTTCCAGCCAGGATCCTTTCTGATTCCACAGACTTCAACTGTTTTGGACCAGCAATTTCACTATAACATAACATACCATGGACAGCTCGTAACAGCTCATAACGTTCTGTATTTTTCTTTGAGGTTAACAGGGTTTTATTTGAGTGTGATAATTCTGATTTGCTTGATAATCCTGGGCATAGCTGGTGCAGCTGGGATTGTCAACATCTTTCTGGATGAATACCTGGACTTCAACATAATGGAGAAAGTCCATAAATTGTTTTGAAGGTGCTTTTAAAAAAAAAAAATATGACTGAACCCCCAAAAGATGATAAGCTACATGTGAATAAAACATCAGAGCTCTTTTCTAACAGCCCATTGCTATGTAAAATGCATGTTTTTTCCTGAGCTGTTTACACTTGCTCCTTTCCCTACACTCTTGGGAAAGTTAGTAAGACAGAATGTCATGTCACATCTACATTTGCAATTAAATGTTCTTTTTCCCCGTATACTATTGCAACCCCACAAATACCATAAAACTAAACTCATTAATTTACTACGCAATTTAGTTGCAACTGGCACTGCAAGCATCAGCCCATCTTACCCATTGTCCTTCAGTTTTGCCAATGCTTCTGTATCTTCCTTCACTGTCCTTAATTTCCCCCAGCTCTGCCTTCTGCTTTGTGCAAATGTAAAGACACTTCCATGCAATATGCTGCTGCAAGACCCCCATTTTGCAAGTATATCCAATCCCACTGCTGTATAAGCATATATGGAAACACTGCTTCAGAAAAATGTTTAAAGCTTCACTTGGCCCTAAGTGTCTACAAAGGACTTTCTGATTTTATATTTTGGAATGTGCTTACAGCTCAACACGTGTTCAAACATTCTTGTGGAAGTGGGGCCCTCCATGGGCCTGTCCCAGTCTTCCCAGGAAACCTGCTGAAGACAAGCTGTGCCCAAAACATGACACTTGCAAAGGGGAGAGCCAGCACAGACAAAAGGAACACACAGATGCTGGTGCTACAATTGGATGCACTGCATTGTTTTCCACCAAGGCACAGATGGCTGGGGTGTGAGAAAGACTAGACAAACATTGCTGGATTCCCAGGGAATGACCACAGCTCTGGGAATCATAAAGTCCCAGTGAAAAGTAAACTGACTTTAAAAGCAGTTTTCTGCCAAAAGAAGGGAAAACTCACGGCTTACCACTGTGAGCTCAAAGTATGCCAGTGACCAATTTAAACTATCTAGAACAGAGATTCAAGGCCACGCCTGTTTTGACAGCTCCTGATAATTCAAATTATTTAGGCAATGCTGAATATAGTAATGAGAGAGCCAGCAGGAAGAAATTTACCTTGTCGTGCCTCTGTAGACATGATTTGGCCAAAACTGATGCAAATTTATAGTGGTGTTCAGTCAAATCTATATAATGAACATGTTTATTGCCTCTCCATAGTGTAGTGAGGTTGATAACCAGACCACAAGATAATTGCGACATGGATTAGATTCATAATAACCCTTCATATTAAAAAGGTGGACACATATTGACACATGGCAGTGGGGCTGGAATGAGATAAACTTTAAGGTTCTTTCCAACCAAAGTCATCCTGTGATTTTATTAAGTTAGCTCATGATAAAAAGACAAAAGCTAGTGCCTGCAGGTAGCAAAGGCTGAAATGGTATTGAAAACTGTAAGGTGAAATACGTACAAAGATGCAAGACCTGAGTCCAACAATGCTTCTTGAGGGGAAAAGGACAGATCATGTTGGTGAACAGGCTGGAGCTGACACAGCTGCAAAAGGCTGGCTCTCCATCACCTACCTTCATGGAGAAAGTACATCAGGGCCAGATTTAACAACCACAGAAATCATCAGAAATGCTTCCACTAATTTTCCTTCCACGGGCTGGAATATGGAAAATCCACCTACCTACCTGCCAGTGATGTCTTCAGCCAGTCACAGTGTTGTAGGTTAGGATTTATCCTTTTATTTTTTCTTTGTTTCAGGGAATTTTCTCACATTTGTTACCTAAGAGATTGTAATGATACTTAAGAGACAAAAGATGTGGCTGGGAGGAGGAGGGAGAAAGGTGCAGTTTGCTGCTGTGGTTGTGGTGCCAGGCTGCTGCTGCAGGAAGATTTTGCTGCCACCATGGAGTTCTGTCCTTCACTGCTTCTCATCACCGTGGAGGAGCCTTTGCTCGGAAGAGCAGCCGCTGAACTGGGACCTTTCCAACATCCAACCTCACTGGGAAGGCCCCTCACCATCTGCTTGGGTGCCTCCGGGGAAGGCAGCGCAGAGAGGCTGCGGTGGGTTTGTGCTGCTGCTGCGCTGCTGCACCGCCCCACGGGGCTGCTTCTCTGCCTTCTTTTACATATATGCATATACATATGTGTGTGTGTGTGTGTGTGTGTGTGTGTATGTACACATATGTATGTATATTCTATAAGGAAGTGTTATTCCTTTTCCCATATCTTTCCCTGAAAGTCCCATAATTTCAAAGTAATAATAATTTGGAGGGTAGGAAATCATAGTTTCCATTCCAAGGGAGGTTTCCGCCTTCCTTGCAGACACCTTTCTTTCAAACCTAGACCCAGAGGCAGCAAGAAACACTGCTGCCAGAACCAAAATCAAGACAAAGGTCCAGACTATTCAACAGACTTGAAATACAGACTATCGGAGGTCCAAAGGCCATCTGCTGATTCAAACAGGTCTTTCCTTGCCTCTGAAATTATTCCAGGCTTACCTGTTGTAGTGCTTTGATGTGTTACCTTCTCTTCACATCGCTTCTCTTCACCTCCTCTGCCCTCCTCTCTCCTCCCCCATGTATAGACAGGCCATACATGTTCAACAGATCTATGTGCAAGATCCTGAAGGCTTCTGACAACGCAGTTCTCACACTGTTGTAGCAGTAGGTGATAGGGAATTACTCTAAGCATGTGTCTTTATCCTTCTCCAGTTTTCCTGTTTTCTCCAACTTCTATGTCCAGCTACGCATTTCCCTCCTTACCCCCCTACCTTGTCTCCATCTTATCTCCTCCCCGGAAGCATCTCCCCACTCCTTATTTTTGCTCCCAGCACGGAATAAACATAAAAAGTTGGATCTGCCACCTCTAACAGGCCAAATTAAGGCCCAGCTTCCCTGTAGCATCTGCCTGAGCACAGGCCTCTCCCCAGAGCACAGGGAGCTTTGGTTGCCCACCTCGCTGGAGAAAGGGGCACTATGGCAGAAGGTGGTGAAGCACGTCCCATCAAGCAGCTCATTACAGCCTGGACTCTGCTGCACAGAGACAGCTGCTGGGGCTGCCTGGGATGCTGGGATTCACTGGCTGCTGGGATTCACTGGCTGCTGAACCTGCTGGAGCAAGTGGGGCATCCTGGCATGGGCCATACTCCGTCTGTTACTGCTGAGGTCTAACACTTTTAACTCCACCAGGTGCTTTGATGCTGCCATACAGAAAATCCAGGGCTGATTCAGGCCTGCCTTCATGCAGCTTCCCTCCCCTCCATGGAAGATTGCTCACTGAGGCGCAAGAATGGGGCAAGACATGATCCATATACAGCAGGTATATGACTCATATAACCATCTTTTATTTGTTTGTTTGGTTTTTTGTTTTGTTTTGTTTGTTCTTGTTTTGTTTCTTTTTCTTTAAAAGCAACATCAGGTATTTTTCTACGTTTTCAGACTCTGTACAGGTCTTAAAAGGAAATAAGCAATGCTTAATGTACAAAGTAAAACCAGAAAACTAGAAAAATCTGAATAAAATGGAGCAAGTTGCTGTCGGGGATACAGTACAAATTAGTAATTAGATGTCATCTGAAGTGCAATACCACTGCAGTAAGGATGAGTCAAGGAAAGAAATAAAAATACTCTATTTTAAACAAACAGTATATATATATATATTTATATATATATATTTATATGTATATATTTTACAGATAGTAGACCCAGTGATATCTGTAGAATTGTAAAAACATATTTACAAATGACTTTTTTAAAAACATTACATATACATCAGCACCATAGTAAGAAAGAAAAAAAAAACCCCAATCAACCCAAATCTAATAAAATCTGTTCTCTAGTACTTGATCCCAGCATGGAGTATTTGGAGGAAGCTTTACAAAGATAACAGAGACTCATCTTGACCACCATTTATCATCAAGGCCTGTGTTTCCCCGATGCACACCGGTTTGCATTGGCTGCTGTGTGGTGGATGTGTGTTTCTAAATTCCCCTTTCCCATCTCTGTGCTGAGAGGTGAGCCCTGATCGCCCTCACCCGAGACGTGGGTGCTGTGATGTCCCCAGCACTGTCCCCTGCAGGGATGGCTGCCCCCACCCTGTCACAGCTCTGTCACACACGTGTGTGTCCCATGCTCACGCTGACACACATGGAGCCACAGCACCCTGGTCCCTTCAGGGTGCTTCTCCCAGTGTTTGCCTATCCCTTCCATTCTGAACAAGAGATGCTGACCCACAGGATGAACCAAAAATTTTAGCTGGTCCTCCCTTTCACTGAATTAGGGTCCAACTTGGTTCCTACTCATTCTCATCATCCTCAGCAGGAGCTGGAATTGGCCCTTGTGCTGTATTTTAAAAAGGGGTCAGCTAAAAGAGATGCAATTAAAGCCATTTTAAAAAATGTAGCAGTCAGGGCAGGTTGGATTGATGGCTCACCTTTAGCACATTAAAAATGCAGCTTGTCCTGCTGCATTGCAGCATTTAGAACAGGTAATCCCCCCCACTAAGCAAGCCCAGCTAGAGAAATTGCCCAAAAGGGAGCCTCAATGATGCACTGAGATGGTTACAAACTCATTTGCTCTCCCTCTTTAATGTGATGCATGTCTGTGCTCCACGGGGAAAGGCAGGACATGAAACTGCCAAGTGCCGAGGCCCTCAGCCTCCATGGAATCCAGGGGCTCAGCACTTGGCATGGCTGGGCCCAGGGAGAACTGCACAAAAGGAGGTGATCAGGAGCTAGGGAATTGGGACTGGCACTAGAACACTGCTGCAGAGCACGACTTGTGGCTCTCAGAGGCCAGTGCTAGGTCAGAGAGTGCTAAAGCTCTGGACTGTGGGTCATGTTAACATTTTTTATATGCACAACTATATAAACTGATAAGCAGCTCTCAGCTGAAAACACTGATAAGAGGTAATAGGTTCCAGAAAACAGCCTCCAACTGCAGTTTGGGAACCCTGCTGTGTACACTCAGAATGCCTGGTGCCTTCAGTGTTGTGTGAGATCTGTCACAGCTTCATCACAGGGCTGCTCAGCACTGGTCCAAACAGTGGAGATAGTGATACATCCCTATTATCTAAAACCTTATTTGGGCAGATTCCATGTTTGTAATATCAATTATTTTATCCACTTATGAATGTTCTTTACGGTAGTCCTTCACTGACTCCTGTTCTTCAAATACTGCAA